CATCTTTTTGCTGGGCACTTTGGCAAATGCTGTGAACAGGGTCCCCAGGGCAGGGATGGTGGGGTGCAGCCCCTGGGGCATGCAGCCCGTGCTGGTGTTCGTGAAGGTGAGGGAGGCCAGCGGCTCCAAGGACTTAGGAGACCCCTCTGTGCTGACCTGCAAGGGGTGGGTTGGAAAAGAGAGAGCAGTGAAACCACCTGAGCTCATCTTCTTAGGGCTGAGGCAACAATAGCTGAAGCAGCAGAGACAGGTTTTCAAACGATCCCTGATCCTGAAGATCTGTGGCCACAGGTTGACCACTATTTATCCTAGCCTCCACAGGAGGAGACCTGGCAGGTGCAAGGGGCCAAGTCTTGCTCTTCACATGCAAATATATGACCTCGTGGGAATCAGACTCAAACCTGCCATGCTCAGCTTGACTTTCTCTGTGCTGCAAAGGAAAAAGAAAGGGCTACAAAGGAACCACAGGAGCAGCTTAAATGCTCACCACTACTAACTGCTGATGGGAGAAGATGAAATAGATGCTGCTGTTACTGCTTGGCTCCAAAAGTCTCTATATTTAAAATCACTAGTGAAATCCCAGCATCACCCACACTACAATTATTTCAGCCGGTTTTGTTACAGTGCAGTTGGCAAGCGGCTCACCGACCTACTCCCTCCCCCACTGCCAGACTTCCCAGCCCTGCAGACAGAGCAGCCCCTATGCACCCTCCATCCACCTTGCTCAGCTGCCATACCCAAACTTCTCCCACTACCCTGTCAAGCAGGACACCCTGCTGGGTACAAGACACTGCTGTTTATTCACAACCTGGTGAAGGGAGCATCTCCGCTGCACAAGTTGGGTGTCTCTCCTGGAGGGAGGACCACAGGGCAGGTGGCTTGATGCTGCTCTCTCCACCCATGCCAGCTCATGCCCTTTAGGTACCTCTTCATTGCCAGTGGCACCAACAGTTGGGAGCATAGCGTCCTCCAAAGCTGCTCTTTCCATTGAGCAAAATCTCAACCATGGGGTGCCCCAAAATTGTGACAGGCTCCTGTTGGCAGAAGCGACGATGGAGCGAGGAGTGAGACTGTCATGGCTCTGCCTGGCAGGCACCGAGCCTGTCCCTTTTTGGGATGCAGCTTTTAAGCCCATTGATGTCTCACCAGCAGTAAAATATTTCCCTGCCCATTTGGGAGCCTCACATCCATATGCGGATGATTCTGAAATCAGACACTTTTGATTATATTCAAGCACTTGGATTTACACTCTGGCTCTTGTACGGATCATTGCTCACTCTGCCTTTGGGGTATGACTACATAGCATCCCAGCACCTCCCCAAAATGCTCAGGGCCACTTTGAGATAATGGCTCCATGTAATAAGCCATTTCCAGGAAGATGCTCTCAGCCTGCCCTGCTGCAGTCACAGCTCGCAGCTCTGCACCGCATCCCAAGGGATGTGGGACAGACTCTGGGGAGAAAACAGGCTTAAAGGCATTTTTACATCTGATGCGTTTGTAGATAGAGGCACCTTTGGTCTCTCCTGGCTTCTGTCAGCCAGAGAAACTTGCAATTAAACTGCACTTTCCTGTGTGCTTCAGGGTGGCTGAATGTGGCAGCTGATGAAGGAACGTGGCTTGAACAGCTCAGGAGGGGTCAAGAACCAGTTCATCCTCACCAAGGCTTCCCCAAGCCTTGCTGAAACAGGATGTCATTTCCTTAATCTAGCCTTTAACTCCCATTTTGGGAAAACTGGGAGTCTAACCCAGGGGGTCAGGGAATGCTGATTATTATTTGCCAAGCCATCACCTAAAGACAGTGGCTTCTAATACAGAGAGGTCAACGGCTATTGCGGCCAGTAACTGTTTGCTTTCCTCTGTCTTTCACCACTTTTCCCCAAAAGTGAACCTTTCCAAATTAAGGACGTTTTAATAATGTTTTGTGGCTGCCTTCTGGCATCATTATCCACAGACCTCCAGAAATCCCACCCCACTGCAGTGAGCAGCCATGCTGGCAACAAGGGCATCCTTTCTTTTCTACCCAAAGCTGAACTGCTGTGGCGGCAATGACCAGCTCAGCTCTCAGGGTGACCAAAATCCACAAGGTCATGGGCTTCATTTTCCCCACACTAACCATGGCCTGGATTTGATGCCCAGTCTATAGAAAGCAAGTTTTAATATATGCAATAATTTCTTAATGAAAGAGGCAGAGGATCTGTACTCTGAGAGGAGAAATTTTGAACAGTAAGAAGAAAACACCTAAGAATTACTCAAAAATTTGAAATCTGCTTTAACTTAACAAGGCAAAGCAGGGAAAAGAAAGAGTTAATTTTCATTTCAGGTGAATCACACAAGCCATTAGTCACACACTTACCTGGAAAACGGCAGTAGAATTAGAGATAATCTGGATGTTTAAAGGGGAGGAATCAGGACTGGCATCCAGCCCTGCATCTCTGAGCATTACAGGGATTTTGCTCACTCTTTATGTAAAAAACACTCACCTGTTTCCACCCTTATGAAACCTCAACAGCATTGCATGGGACTACACCCATAGAGAGTTTTGCCTTTAGAAACTGATTCCTGTTAAAACAGAATATTGATAAAACATTGCATGCAGCCACAAGGGAGACTTACCCCATCCTCCCGTGACGGCCAATCTGCCATGGTGCTGGTGGCAAAGCTCCTTCAGACTCACCAAGAGAAGAAGAACTGATGGGCAGGAAGATGCTCCAGAGACCCCCTGGTTGCATGGTGGAAAGATCTCAGTAGTGAAACTGCAGCAGCTCAGAGAGCTGCAGGCAGGAAAAGCAGCAGCCGATTTATGAGAACAGCTTGCTTCTGCTCAAAATCCTCCAAAATCCTCCAAAATCCTCTGGAGTTGCTCTCACCAGGGGAAGGTCTAGGAGATGCTCGTGAGTGGAGCACAGCCTCTGCAAGTCAAGGATGCAGGTGAAGCAGTTGCTTTGATGAGCAGCACTAGCTTGACCCCACCGAGCACCGGGGAGCGGGGTCCAGCTGCAGCAGGAAGCATTAAGGGGTGCAGAGATCAGCAGCGCTGTGGTGACAGCGCTCCCCCAAACTGCTGGAGTGCCAGCAGGTCAGCGACCGCAGCAGCAGGGCCATGTGGGGTGAGCTGGGCAGTCAGTCAGGGTTGCCAGGTACTGCAGACACTAATGAATGTGAATAGCTGTAACCTCAAAGGCAGAATTTGACACCAAAGAGAGGGTTTCAGCTCTCTGGTTTGATCCAGCCCAAGACCTCAGCTGCAGCATTTAAATCCAGGAGTTTTGGGGTGCTGTTTACTCTTTTGGCTCAGTAAAAGCTACAGGTTTGGTGGGATCATAAGATCTGGATGGCAAGGCATGCCCCTGAGTCACACCAAATACTCCAAACAAGCATCTTACTGTAGGTCAGAAAATGTGAATTTCTGAAACTGTTTTCCTGCTTCTTTCCCAAGAAAAAGAAACCCCCCAAAGGGCTTTGCTGAGATATTCAGAAGATGATCTCCAGCGTGTTGATTCCAGCAGTCTGCCGGTCCAACTTGTGAAACTCACTACCACCAGCTCTAACTTGTACAAACCTTTTGCTTTGTAAGGCAAGACAACATCCATAGTTGAGATTAAAAGCCCAGAGCGTGAAATCCTGATGCTCCACCCTCATGAACTCTCTGGGACAACATGGAAACAGCCCCTGCAGGAAGGTTACTCCATGGATGGTCAAAACTCAGTGCTTTAAAACCTCCCTGAATGCTCCTGCTAGCAGCCAGCACTGAGGCGAGCGGGGCTTTCACTGACTCACTGTGGAAGGGTCAGAAACGTCATTGAACCATTTCAAGCCAAAAGGGAAATTTCTAAGAAAAGTGTGGTTTAGCGTACAGCCTACAGCCCACAGAATCTATTTAGAGCAGAGCCAACAGCCCCCGCAGCCTCCCGCCCCGGGACTTCATCTAACGCAGTCTGAAGCCACACAAGGTGATTTCCTTCCATTGCACTGTGCAGCACTCAAGGAGAAGCGCTGCACATTGTGGCCTCGGGCGAGGGGCTGCAGCAGGGCTTACAGTAAGTTCTGTGTTAATTTCCTTTTGGGGGGGGGAGGGTCGGGGGGTGCTCCTTTTTTCATGTAATAAAGAGTACAGCTCAGTGCAGCAGCTGTGCTGGTTTCGTGTTAGAGATGTTGCTGGCTACAGTACATGGGGTGTCTTCTCAGGAGTTCCTGTTCAGAATCATTTCTTGTGTATCATGACATTGTGGCAAAGCCCTTCCTCGCTGAGGAATCACCCACCTCCCCAGCACAGGGGGTCAAGGGTGCTATGGGGGAACAGTGGGGTGAGAGTGCAGAATCAGACCCAAACCCTCCAGGGGACTTAAGTTACCTCAGCAGACAGACGCAAGCTGGCCACCCTTGACTGCATCCTTGTTAGCTTGGACCAACCCAGTTAACTGTGCAAATACCAACTTGCAGGTGAGCCCCTACAGAGGCCTGGACTTAGGCTGTTGGGTTGCATCGCTCCCTCAGGTCTCTGGGGGTCCACACCACTGAAGACTGGTGGATCCCAAGCTCTCTGCCATCGTCAGCTCCCGCTACGAGGTACATTTCTTGGGCAGGACTTTATCCAACAGAGCTGCAGAGCAACTTGAATATTTGCAAAAAAAAAAAAAAAAGCAAAGCCTACAACCATCTGAAACAAGACTCTGGTTTGCAGTCACATGTTCATCTGCATAAAGGATGAGAGAACAAACATTTGTGCTATAAATTCAGCATCAAAGATGCTGTTAGCCATACTGGATCACCCCTTACACCACCAGCTGTCCCTTTGGGGTGGCTTCCAGCCACCACCGTTGCTGGCTCCCAGGCTGGGAAAGCCAAAACCAGTAGAGATGCAAGGCCTGAATGAGAATGGAGACAATCTAAACACCATGTATGTAAAAGAGTTTATTGGAAGTAAACACGACGATATTTATGGTGCTAAATCCAGCATATGATCAGCAGAGCAAGGCGTTCCTGTCCCTTCACCACTCCTTAAGGGTGCAGCAGTCAGGACATCTGCCTGCCCCATTCAGGTCCACCTGTCCTTGCTCAAGTCCATCTGTCCCATTGAGGCTGGGGCCCAGCTTGTACAGTGAGGCCAGTCCTATCCAACACCACTTCAGTAATTAATGTAAACACTTTTTGAATAGCAAGTGCTCCCAGCAAATTCACACACACTCTAGTAGAAGAGCAGGGAGAACATCCAGCTGCACGTCCCCCATAAGACCAGGGCAGACTCAACTCTAGGGAAGTAAAGTCCCCCACCACCCCGAAACACTTTTTGAGTATTTTTCCTCCTGACACCTTCTCCATTTGTTGCTCTGTTACTTGTAGATGTACCTGCATGTATTAGGATAGGCAGTGGATGCCTCAGAAAATAGCCACAGTGTCACAGAGCGGAGGTACATCTTTGCAGAGAGTTTATGCTTTGAAATGTGCAGAAAGTGTTAACTGCTACTCCTATCTCCTTTTTCAAAAATATCCAAACACAAGGCATGAAATTAACCTCCCAAGGCAAAAACTTCATCTCCCCTAAAAGTAGAGGTTGACATCTGAGTTTCTTATCCAGCCTGCCTGGAGTAGAGGATGGGGCACTTCAAAAGCATGGTTCAGCTAGCTTGCTCTTGATGCTTAACTTTGGAGGAGATGGATCACAGCCCCTCACGTGCCCCACTTTGCAGCACAGGGGTCTGGATGCCTAGCTCAGGTGCAGAGCTCTACCTTGGGCCAGGTGACTGCTGCCGTGGGTGACTGAACAAACACAGTGTTAACCGACAGGAACAATTTGCAAACAACTGAGCAGCAGACAAATGTGCAAATGTATCTGGTGGCTACCTCTGGATAATGAATGCATAATCTATTCCGACTCCCATCCCTATCTACTTCTGGATAATGCGTCTGTGAGCCTGAGTCAAGTTTATAATGGTTGGCAACGAGAAAAACAGGCTGCTTTTGAGCCAAACATTTTGTTCAGCAAATAAGGCAGGCAGTTTGGCCATGGACATTTGCTGTTAGGAGCTCAGTGTCAGAATCTCTCCTGCGCTCAGCAATTCCCATCCTGCATACAACTGCTATGTGGGGTGGCAGGATGCAACAACTGATTTTTGCCTCTAAAAATCTGATTTTATGCCTAAATCACAGACTTTAATAAAAGACCAATATTGTATTCCTTTCCCATCTATCTGCTCATTAGAAAGTCGCTCTTACATTTGGCTCAACTGCTGGGAATGCTCCAAAGAAATCTAATTACAAGGTCATTGCAGTAAATTGCATTTGGTGGTGTAACTCTGCATCACTGGTTCAGGGTGCTTTCTCCTTTCACCTTGGAGTAACTCATTTAACAAAGGTAAAGAAAAGCAGAAAAAAATGTACAGACTCCCAGTGAATGAGACTTAACAGGGAGCCAGCATTTCCAAAGTGTTGTGACTTCTGGGTGCCCCACTGGAGGCAAGTTCTCCTGGGAATGGTGACAAACTGGACACCAAAGACTTTCCAGTCACTTTGGGAAATGCTGCTTACCAGCCATGCAGTCCTTGGGAGGAAGGAGAGGAGACTGAAACCATTTGGAGGCTTCCCAGGATTGCCCATGCAGGAGCAAATTTCATTCTTCCCCCAAGAAATCTACTCTCCATCTACTCGACCCTTTGGGAAGAAGAAAGAAAAGTCACTTCACTGTGTTGGGTGGCAAAAGCCTAGTCCCACCTCCAGCGATCCCGCTGCTGGCTGAGGTGTCTCCACCCCGGCTCCTCACCACGCAGGGACAGGTTCCCAGGAGGAAGGGGCTGGTTCCTTCTCGGCTGTGCCAGGCTCAGTGCAAAGGAGAAAGCTGCAGGTTGCAGATCACGGTGCCTGGAGGATGCTTTCATGCCAGCTGCTGCTGACAGGTGGTAAGTCGGTGCAGACCTCAGGAGAGATGGCTGCCTCTGGCTCAGTAATCTCTCCCCATGCTCCCCAACAGATGCATCCTCACGCTTTCCGGATGATCCGCCCCGGTTTCCTCCAGTCCCTGTACCTCTCCCTGCGCACTGAGTGGACCAGAGGCCTGGAGAAGCTGGAGTGGTTGGATCTGGTGGTGTTGCTAGTGAGGAACAAAGCGAGACATCATTACTGGTACGGTTCAGAGCTGGGGCACATCTCCTGCATCTAGTAGAAGCTCCTAAAAGAACAGGGAATTTTGGTCAGCAGAACAGGGTTCACCACCACTGCTGCCAAGAGAAGGGCCAGTGCTGGATCCTGCTGCACCCCTTGATGCTCAAGGTGCCTGGACTGCAGAGACCCAGGGGTGATCCTCTCCTATGCACCTGAAGTGGCAGTGGGGACTCTCCCTGTCCCAGCTACTGGAGGTCTTAAAACAGCTGCTAAACCACAAGTGCAGAAATATAAGCTCAAGACCCCATAAACAGCCTGTCAGAGCCCCGAGGATGGTCCCCTCTGGCCAGATGGGTCACTGAAGCCAAGCCCCTAGGCTCTTCAAAACTTCCACTTCAAATACCTTTGAGCAGTTTTCCTTAAAACTACTAAACCAAACATCATGCAGACCTAGCACTTCTTTGGGCTTTTGCCACCCTTGTTACAGTCTGCATTCTCTCAGGGGGTTATCCAGGGTGGGAACCAACCATGCCACGAACTAACCACACCATGATCAACAACATCACATGTGGAGATGCCCAGGACAGTCTAGCAGAGCTGGCTCAGCTGCAGAAGCAGTGGGGCCTGTGTTCACCTAGGGCTCTTCTGGGATGACTTAATGCTCAGGCCCATTTGCCCTGGGCATTTCTACTGTCCCTAGGTGTTGTGCCCCAGGCTTTTCTTTCCTTCCTCCTGGCTAACACCTTCACTACCCATTTTTATACCTAGCTTTTGCAAAGATTGGAAAAGACTGGCATAGTGAACGTGCACATTCTCCTGACAGTGCAGAGGGTGATGTGGAGCACAACAGCGTTAGTAGGAATTTGCATTGAAATTCATATGTGGTGAAGCGCATCCCCTCCCCATCCCTGCAAAAAGAGCGGTGCAATGGTGATCTCTGGGGCTGGCAATTTGAGATCTCTCCTCTTTCTAGGTCCTGCTCAGAGATGTTCCTCCTGTGATCTCCAGTGGTTTTGTCAATAAAAATCATCCAGATATCACTTCTCCCCATGCCTGTAAGCAGTAGAAGGGGACAGTGAGGAAAGGCTGGTGGAGAGCAGAAGTGATGTGGGATGCCAGAAGCGGCTGATGAATGGAGGCAGGGAGTGGGGGAGCCGCCAGCCACTCCAGGAGCGGAGGAAGACAGAGCTGGGGAAAAGCTGTGAATGTGCGAAAAAGCTGCTTTACAACACAGCTTGTTACTATTCAACATCCACAAAAGGAGGAAGAGCCCTGAAATCCCTGCCTGTGCTGAGGGTACAGTCAAGAGACAGTTCTCTCATGTCCTAATTAGCTTGCTGCTTTATAACTTAATTTTCTAATTGGTTTTCAAGTTAATTACTTTTAACAAACAGGCTGGGGAGGTGGCAGCTCAGGCCCTGTGGCAGGAGGTGAAGCTTCACCTCTACAGCGCTGGCCCGACTCCAGGCTGTGCTGGGAAGCAAGGTGGCCTTACATCCATCTCTTCCAAGGAGGTCTGCCTTGCTGTTATCTCAGGTTTAAGCTCTTACAGGAAGGCTTTGGGTGACTTCCTTGGCAATGTCTGCAAATCCTTCCTAAAAGTCAGTAATCCTGGGATCTCAGATCACACCAGCCCCTTGCTCCCATTCCTCCCAGCTGGAGATGGTACCCAGCAGCGAGAGGCGGCTCGACAGCTGCGTGCACAGTGGAGCAGCCATCACACTCCACCGCCGCTGACACCAGGGCTGAGCTCGGCTGGGTGCCCCAGATCCATACGTTCAATGTGGTGCAGGTGTGGGCGTACAGTCACTTACTGTCAATTAAATCAAAGCTGATATTGCAGCTTGCTTTCTGCTCTCATGCTGGTGCCGTAGAAGCTGCGAGAGGACAGGTGATTCTTGGGCCAGGCTGCCATGGCCAGATGGTACCTGGTCCAGCATTAATCCAACTGGTGTGAACCTCACTTTTGAGCTGGCTTTGTGCTGTGGTGCTCCTGACATGATGCAAGGCATGAGGAAGCTTTCTTGCACTGCTGAGCCACGGCTCAAACTCTTTGGAGAACCAGGCTACAGATGTCACGACCATTCCTGAGCATTTTCTAAGCCCAAGCCCATACTGAAGGGTGAACATCTGGCTCCAGCTGCTCTCTGAGCACTGGGAAACATGGCCTCATCACTCAAGAAAGCTTCAGCGTTATTGCAACAGGGGTGTATAAGCCCAGGCTACATCAGAAACAGGGTGTCCATGCAGGACAATCTTAATTCCACTAAGAGGATCCCAGTTCATCCTGTAATTTTCCAGTTCTCCAAGCCACAGATATTCACCTGTTTATGGTGCAATCTGCGAATGATCCATGTGACACACACAGACCTGGTGGCTCTGCTTTCCCAAACTGGCTGGAGTCAGCTAGAAGAGCAGCAGGAGCAGGTATTAGGGCAGGGACAGGCTGGGCAAAGCCTGCTGTGACAGCAGGCAGGGTGGGCTGCGTGCTCAGCTCTGATGGAGACGGCTGGGATGCCCCCAGGGTGTGGGGCCCTGCACAAATCATCCAGCTTGGTCCCACCTCCCCAAATGAGGCTGGGTTAGATGGCAGCCCCTAGAGATTTTTGGGTTTGATGGGGTACCTAATTCCCTTAGGTTCTCTTAAAAAAAAAAATTAAAAATTACATTATCCTGGTTGCTTGATGCAAGTTGTTTGGTGGCCTCTAGTAAATAAAATGATTCCATTAGTTTTTCTGCATTGCATGCTTTTGCTAGTATTGGGGTACCTCAGACCTCAGTACAAGTTATTGTCCAATGCCTCCCTGCACTCCTCCTTGAAGACAGCAAGGAAATCTGCCTCTAACCTCAATTATAATCCAGCCAACCCCAACACTTTCAAGCTATTTCTGCACTGGAGCTGCTTCCACCTATGGCTGCATTCCCAGTGCTAATCATTTTACTTGTACAACTAGACAGTGCAAGGTGCAGTTCAGCTTTGCTGGTCTGGAAATTCAGCCAGTGAATTTATCCCTGAACTGCAGACAAAGAGACTGGTATCTGCTGGCTACTGATCTTCAGCAAGCCATGGCTGCATCCTGGCACCACCGCTTTCTCTTGGTGGTCTCGTCTGTGGAGGCACCTTCGGGGTGTGTATGTGCAGCACCAAGCACAGTGGGGCTGTAATTGGGGCTGGGATTGCTGTACGTCAGAGGATTAGGATAAGGAGTGAGCTGTGAGCTCTGCGTGCTCGTACTGCAGCTGTCAGACCTAGAGGAAACTGGGTCAGAGGCATCTTTTCAGTTCCAAAGCTACGAGGTGTTGGTGTGCCATTGTCTGAGATCTGGCAAGAGGTGAATTTTGTGTCCCAGGGTTTGAGTCTCTAATCACGCGGCCGATGGATAGCTGTCAAGATATCTTTCATTATAAGACCCCAATGAAATTAAGACCACCATTACCCCAAACACTACTACAAGTGAACAAGATGTAAACAGTATTTGCAGAAACATATCTCAATTTTAAGGACATGGGGTGTTTTTCTTTTACGTCCTTATTTCTCCATCTCGTTGTTGTTGGGCAGAAAACAAGGAAGGGATTAGTGTAGTGGGCACAGCCCAGAGAGTGGGAGGAGACGGTGAGATAGTGACATGCACGCTAGTGATTTAACGTGAAATACTCCGACTGTGAAGAGTCTCTAGAGGTTTATGCCTCATTGAGGAATATCATGCATGAAGCACCTCCTTGTGCTACCTACATTTTTCTCTTCCAGGTATGTTGATCGGGAACCTGAGTCACACGAAATATGCTGAGTTACAGCACATTTCCTCAAACCCCCCCCCCCAGTCATGAGCATATTTATCTGCAAGCGTGTCAAATGCACAGTACGTTCAGACAATACCGGCTCAAAAGATTAACAGACCTTAATCCTATCTCTGTGCATTAATACACAACAGATGATGCACACGTCTATAAGGACCGATGTACATACACAAAAGGCAATCTTCCCCATGAAAACATACCTGAGCTATTCACCTTTTGGAAACTTAATAGGCATTAACTCACCTAGAAGACCAAACTGGACCCGCCTGCTTCTTCGGTTTGGCTATCTGCTTCTGGTACTCCATCCAGCCACTCACCAGCTCATGAAGGATCATCACGTAGAGAAGGAAAATAAGAATCCTGGGATCCATTCGCGGCACTTCGGGGTCTGCTTCATTGGGTACAGGTGACATTTGATCGAGAGCAATGGGAGGTCAGCTGGAGGGATGCAGCTCCTGCGGGCAGGGTTCTCAGAAACGGGGGGAGCTGGAGGGATGAAAAGGTCGCTGCTGAAGAGGAGCCTTGCAAGCTGGGTTTTGTGCAGAGTGAATTAATGCTGTAAAAATCTCCCGGGGGAATGAGAGGCTGGTGCTTATTGCGTGAAGCAGCATAAACACAGCTGCAGAGGCTACGGACGTTTCCTTTAACAGGGTGGATCACATCTTCTGGGACTCCATCCCTTTTGTCTCCCTCTCACTCATGCTTTGTCTGCATTACTCTGCAGCCATGAGCTTCCTACACTTTTATCGCAGGAGCAGCCCCGCTTCGGCAGCGCCCCTTTGATTGGCGGCTAGGGCGGGGGGGTAGAGTTGGCTGCTGTGCCCGTAAGCCGGCAACGGGAGCACTGTCTGGCTGCAAAGAATAAAATAAAAACCCCAGTCAATAACTAGGGAATCTCCGAGCTGTCTCTTCCCAGTGTCTCAGGATTTTGGGCTGCACTGAGCCAATGTTGACTGGGAGTGTTACTGAGTACTTCGCAGCTGAGAAATCTTTTCTTCTCGCTTTTCTCACACTTGTATTTTGTTCTCCTTGTTATTATTCTGTACCTAAATCTTCAGCTGCTGTTTTCCCTTTGGTAAAGCTCTGGTGGGGTACCTGATGTGCAGGAAAACCCTGGTGCCGCAGCTTCCAGTCTTTTCCACACTACAACTCCTCTCCCAGACTCTCCACCTCTTTCTGTTTAGCAGTGTAGGGTCTTGCTCGACTGAGATCTGGTTGTGACACCAGATCCCCTTGGCCTTGCCCTTCCTTCCCCCATGAAGAGCCCTGGGACACAATGCAGTACATGTGCCTGGTATTTCTAGCAGGATAAAAGCATAACCCAGTCTTGTTTAGACACTTGTATAAATTGAACAACAACAACAAAAAAAGCCCTTTTCTCATCATTTAAAATCAAGCCTTATCAGTATCTACCTTGTTTTTTTAAGACCGTCTTACATAAAATTCATGTTATTCCAGTGAAATCTTTCCATAAGTGAAACAGTAAATCCTCAATTATTTAAATACCAGGATCATCTAGAAGCAAGGCAGATTGAACAACCTACCTTTGCTTAATGGAGCTGTGCCAATTCAGTGCAGAAAAGGCGGCCCACATGAGCAGCAAATACAGCGACCCTCATGATCTTCAACTCCACAGCTCCTACATAAACACAGGGACCGCTGGGCTTGCTCTCTAACATGAAGCGGGGTTCAACACACTGGTCAGTGCAATTCTTCAAGGATAGGTGTGACAGCCACATAATACACAATCTCACAATAAACTTACAATCAGGAAGCTGCTTCTGAGCTAACTCAGGTGACACTACCTGTGGGTTTAACACCTGAAGTTAGATGTTTCTCAGAAACTTTTGCCCTTTGGTATATAACTGCAGACAAGTGTGCAGAAGCCAGGGATTTTGATAGTTTTCTATTAAGTACAAATGTAATGCACATTAGGGGATGCTAATTACACAGTATGTCTGCATAACAAACAAATCCAACAGCAGTACCAACGACCCAGTCAAACATGCACCTCAAAGTAATGTGTGACTTTCCTTCAGCTAAGTAATGTTCTTTCATTTATGAGTCCAGAAGTGCTGAGTAACTCTCTAAATTGGGAGGAGAAGATCTCATGGATGGGAGTGAGCAAGTGAATGAAACAAGCAAGGACTGGAGGTGTTCTAGCAGCTACGAAAATGGGAATACTTGAGGTTCTCCATGAAAGGATAGTGGAGCCGTTCCTATAGCAACAGAGACAGTTGCCAGGCTGCGGGAGATGGGTTCTGATGTATGGTACAAGTCATATGTAGTGAGGGATTTTAGACTAGAGACAACACTGATATTTTATACATATGCAATTTTTAATGAGTAAAGACAACGTGACTCCTTTGTTCTGGTGGAGAGCAGCTTTTTACACAAAATCAAAGAGAGAAATTACTGGGGTAAGAGTTGCAGGATAACTCATTACAACTTACTTCTAGTTTTGTATTAGGTGCTTCATCTTATGAATACAAAATCATTTTAAAAATCTGCTTGTTGCTGAACATTACAGCTTGATTGACTAATGCTCCTTTTAAAATCCCAACAGACTGCAGACTGCCTTTGCCCCGCTTCTGCTCTTTTACCATCCTCAATACTCAAGCAAACATTGCCTATGTCTGAAAGTCCTTTTGAGTCTTAAAAAACTTACCTGAACTTTAACACACAATTTTTTGTTAAAAACATCACCAATTCATCCTTAATACTATGTAAGGTAGAAAAGCCAACAACCTGTGAGTTACGGCCAGAGCCAACAGCTCTTAACAGGGCAGTTGGTTTCCAAACAGCCCGGTGACTAGTCACAAGCAGCAAGTTCTTTGACAAGCGATTCAAAAAAAGGAACTGGAAAGGCTGATTTCAGAGTGATTAAAGCCCAATTTGGGAGGGCAGGAGCTAGCCGTGGTGCTGAGGGGCCCCTCTGGCAGCTGTGGGGTATGGGGGTACAGGACCCCCCCACCCCCAGCAGTGGGGCACCCCGACACCCCCCCGTGAAGCTGTGGGTGTTTCCCCTCTGCCCCCCAGCCTGCACTGGTGCATAAATTCAGCCCAAGGGCACAGCCTCGGCGTTGTCCTGGAGAGGTTTGATGGGAGCAGAAGCACCTGCATGGGTCCTTCAATTTGTAAAAATACTCTCAGCAGAGTCAAGAAGCAGCTAGCAAACTCACTGGGGACTCCTAAGGGTTTGCAGCAACTAACAACTGGGCTGTTGCACACTTTGGTAGTCATCAGTACAAGACAGATATACCAATAAAATGTGTATACAAGACTATCGCGTAACATAGGCACCTGAGTGCTTAAACAGACCTTACCTGCAGACCAGAGCCTTGATCTGCTTCTCAAGTTGTCCATTGTTTTGCAAATGGTTTTAATTAAGAGCCAACACTCCTCAGATACATCGTTTCTCTCTCCTGCTGTTTTCAGACATCTCTACAAAAATGACAAGTAAGTAAAATATGGATGAAGCTTGTGTGAAAGAAGTGGCATGGAAAAACGTTCCCCAAGCCTGAAGTGAGAGGGAAGCAGGGCCTGAGATGGTATCAGAGAGCCTGGAATTTGGGCAGGCTCTGAAGAACAGAAGGAAATGAAAAGCTGGGGTACAAAGCAGTCTGCCCCAGTTTTGGTGAGCAGAAACCCATGCGGAGGACAACTCTTTCAACTCACAGTTTAAGAAGATACAAAGGAACGACAACATAGCTGAGCCACTGACACACTGATAAAATCTCATTCTGAAGCAGTGGAAGCAGCAGCACGTGCAGGTTTGCAATTTCTTTGTTAAACCAGGGGGGAAATGAGGCCAAGTCTGTTGTCCAAGGCACTCAGTCCAGCCAGTTGGGCTGAAAGAAAAACCCAGAATACTTGACTGGTCACTGAACCCTTCATTCCTTGCAAGCCTGACTGCTGCAGCATTCCCATTCTTTTGGGCAGTGTATTGTTGGAGCAAAGGTACTGAGGAACAGGACTATGTCATTCTGCTACTCACTGCCTATTTCCCTCTTTGTTGGATGACAATCTAGGCCTCTTTACTGCTAAAGAGATTTTAAAGCATGGAGGTGGTAGGCACCAGTTAGTATTTATATTCATTGCAGTGGCAAGGGCACACTGCAACACCAATGACCTTCCTTCAGGCTTCTTGGAAGCACCCATTGCCCCATTCTTCCACTTGGAAGATGGTGTAACTGGCTAACAAACTGGAAAACCCACCCTTCCTAAGGCTCACCATTGATCCAGAACTCACACGATCTCCAAACTGTATCACAGAAAGGCAGCAATAATTGTTTCATTACAGTAAATCAGGGTTGACATAAACTGTGTGTTTGACTTGTTGCAATTATTGGCTTTTTAGAAAGAACTTCTGAGCTTCACTGAAAAGTCAGTCATCTGCAGTCCCCTTGTACAGGGGCCAAAGGCTGCAGGGATTCCTCTAGCTAACAGGATAGTCAAGGACTAGAAACATCAAACCTCATACACACAGGCCAAACTGAAAGATCAGGCCAAGCAGGTCCTACAACAGGCCATGGGGTCATGGTCCAAAATTCCTGTGGCATCCAGAAGATACAGTGATCGTCCCCAGGTAGCAGTCAGGCCACAAGCAACTGCAAGTGGAAGTACCTCTGCTTAGACGCAGGGCTAGTAAAGGTGGATCTGAGGTCCTAGGTCTGGTGTCTGCAAATACCCCAGGACCCTAGTAGTTGCAGGGGTGCTTCCCACATCTCCATACACACTTGTCCCCAGCCAAAGCCCATAAATGCCGTCCTGCTGCAAAAGACAAGATGAAAAACAGATTCCCTTCTCTGCCTTTTGGCCACTCTTCAAGGAACCTGCTTGTAAAAAGCCCTCTGTAATTATATGATTATTCATTAGAGATTAAACAGAGCCCACAGTGCTCCTTTGGAGTATGCCATGGGCTGGTAACAAATCTGGCTATGACCTACTGGACCAGATGTTTGTTGTTGCTACCCAGGCTTTGTTTCACAAGTCAGTAATGACTCTGGCCCAGTGACTCTGACATCTCGAATGAGGCTTCATGTGCAGTTCAGGGGAATAAACATCACCCGCAGACACATGTCTCTCTCTCCTCTCTCATTCACATCAGTGCTTCCTTCCTAAGCTCAGAAGAAGTCAAACAGATCTGGAACCAGAGAGGAAAATCGAAATAGAACTGCCAACAGAGCCAGAAGAGAGCAGATCTCAGCCTTCACAGAGGACTGGAAAATGGATTTTCAGAGTTAAAAAGAGGTACTGTAGAATCTGTCAGCACCTTCCATAGCCTCATATGAGTCAACAATCAATAAAAGACAAAGAACAGACGCTCTGAGACATATTTCTTCTGAGGATTTTTAATTGCTTCTACCTACAAATGTGGTTGGAAAAGTGGTAATATGAAACTTGCATTCTTAATCATCAGATTGCTTTGTATCAGATTGCCAATGAATCATCACTAGGATTTTATAAACAATTCACCACTTTTTAATTCTGTTAACCCTGATCAGACAACACAGCTGAGGCACAGCAAACTGATGCTATTCTGAGGGAAAAAAATAATATTAAAACTACAAGTAATAATAATTGTCTCCTGAGTTCTGTACTTTTTTTTCTATGACAATGGCACAAGAACCAGCAAGGGTTTAGCCTGGCCCAAGCTGGATGTCTGGTTACAGGAATTACCTTTCTTACTTCCTTGCCATAGAACTGACATTCGCAGAACCTGGAGAAGAAGGAGAGAAGGACACCGACACTCACATCTGGGCTGCTGCCTTTAATGCAGGCAGATGCAGAAGCTGTGGTCTAATACTGATGCTTTTCCTGTTTCCTGAGCACAGACCCTGCTGATCAGGAGCAGCAGCGACACGGACTCATCTCAGCATAGCAGTCTATAAACCCAGGTGAGATACCTTTGCCCCTTGTGCAGTTGTTTTGCAAGAAAAGGAAGCTGGTTTCACTGCATCCAGTTGTTCAGCTTTGCTGTTCTCATCAAACTCCCCTTGCAGGTCCAGCAGGCCAAAATCCACCCACACATATGGTTTAGCTGCTTTCTGTGAAGTTATCCTTCAAGCTGGACTGACCTCGTTATCTTTAGCATGGTCTCTACATGCTAATGTATACTCCTCTATTTGCTGATGGTCATTCTTGCGCTACAGAGGCTGGTATTAGCCAGGTTTAAAATCTGGTTCCCCTAGAAAGTAAGAACCTTTCCAACATCAGTGTCTCCTGCCAGAAAAATCTTATTATTAGGGGCTGACATATAAACCCAGCACAAAACTGGAGGCAGTCTGTAAGTGAATTCCCAGCACAGAAGATTGACAATAGGCAAGTACAAGCTGCTCACCACCCTCGTGAGCCCCAGGTCCCTAAACACACCAAGCTGAGCCCTGCTTTGCCCCCAGGCAGAGGCCACCAAGCTGTAAATGCAGAGGGAGCTTGGGCTTGAGCACACACAGCCACCCAACACCCCTCTCTCTGCCCAGCCAAGCCGCCAATGCTGGCCAGGCTGAAAGTCCTGCTTACCCTGGCCATAAAAGCACTGTGTGTCAGCCTCCCTCAGGAACCCGGCTGGAGGAAAGGGTTAAGGCACCTGCCCTCACCTAGATGGGAGAGATCTCTGCCATCCACACTGCCTGGTCTGCTGGGATCAGATAAGGGAGAAGAGACAGCAGCAGAGAAGACAACAGAGCTGAAGATGATGGCAGAAGTGCCAGGTGCCCCAGGGCAAGAAGCAGAGAAAAAAGCACCTGGGAAAGAGCAGTGAATGCAGAGGATATCCATGAATGGCAAAGTCTGGAGCAACCATAGAGCTGAAACCCTATCTGATGTGTCCTCAACAACAAGAGTGGCCTGAACTTGGGTAGAGTTGCCCTTAATCCGTGTTTTACACCCACCTGAGGCTCAGAGAAACTGACTTGCCTCTGGTTTTGATGCTGAGCCTGGCTTTGGTGGAGGGAGAGTGCTGGCAAGGATACCCACAGCATGTCTTTGGGTTCAGAGCCATGGGGATGGAGCTTGGATGGGTCCACTGGGCCCTGCTGGGCTTAGCCCTTATTAACATAACAGCCTGAAAGGGAAATAAAGGTGAGAAAGCAAGCTGGAGAATGCAGAGAGCTCTATGGCCACAGCGGAATCTATCAGAGCTGCAAAGACAATTGCAGAAATACTTACTCCTCCTGAAAAGCTGCTCCATCAAGACATCTCTCCAGAAGGACAGCTGGACTAATAATGCCATTTGTATGCCAGGACAGACTTGTTACTGCTGTACAAAAGCAAACATAAAGAAGCATCTGTGTGTCATCCATCAAAATGGCAATAAAGGCCAGAAACTCTCTAAATCACCCTGTGTTGTTCAGTCTCCTCTCTGGTTCTGGGAGAGACTCCAAGCACTTGGGTACAGGCTGTGGCACAGCTCCTGCCCCACACAGCCCTGCTTCTGGTCACCTCCAAACACCACCTCCCTTTGACTGAGACACAACCCCAGTCTACGAAGGTCTAAAATAGAATTTAGAGCAGCTAGAAATACCTTTATATATACCTACAGGCAAAATCTGTTGATCTCCATCATCAAATGGCTGAACTATTCTGAAAAAGGAATAAACAAGATTTTTCATGTCACTTCCATTTTCTGGGCTAGATACAATCTTCCAAAGTCAAAGCAAGACATTCATCTTGAGGGAAGCTGGATAAGGGGATCCTCGCTTACAAGGAAAGTCACATACCAAGACTCCCACCACCCACAACTCATCAGAATTAACCTAAAGGCGACTGTAAAGCCTGAACCATATAGCAACGCCACCAGAAAAATATCTTGGAGAGTGATAATTCAGTTTTATGCTGTGCAGCATCTGCTCCAGACTTTGTTAGATACTCCTTTTAAATGTCCATCTTCCCTCCAGCCATCTGCATCACAACCCATTGTTCCCAACCACTTTTCCAATGGATCCACTGCCCACAGCACTAAGGAGAACAGGGTGCTCTGCCAACAAGCAGATGCTTTTGAGCATTCAGACTTGTGAAGATGCATGACAATGCCTTCCAGTTGCTGGGTCCCCACCTCTTATTATGCTTTAAGTCACAGCCTAACAGAGCCCCAGCTGTGGCTTTTGTGGGACTATTTGGGAAGTAGTGTCAATGGGTTGGAAACCAGAAGTTGGCAACCTGTGCTCTCCAGGAGGATGATTTCATGGCTATTTTTTCCCACCACTTTAGGTTTCATCCAGAGAAGTGCAGGAGTTGCAGGCTGTCAGAATCCAGCCCATTTTTTGAACAACAGGCTTCCTCTTATGGGTGGAAATTGGTGCAATAAAGTTTCTCACTGCACCCCTAATGATCCTACTGGGGCCACAGCACAACCAAAGGGATCTTCACAAGACAGACTTCTGAATACTGTCGTAAGAGCAGCTATACCCTACCTGCCAAGCTCCCCAGTTTCCTTGTTGTCCTCCCACTGCTTCAGAGCAAAGGAGGCATGAGAGATAAAATGTCTGAATCTTTGAGGCTTCTCCTAAGGGCACTGGGTGGATACACATGGCCCCATGTCAAAAGGCCAAGGTTTAAATGTTTAAATTGGATGGATGTCAGTGGGAAATCAGGCACCTAAGTAGTAGGTAAGTATGAAAATACCTTTTTATTTTGTAAGGTAAAAACGCTCATGTTGTTTTTCAGCATGTTCCAGCCAAGCGGGACCTGGGTAGATGTCACCAAGGCACTGAAACAGCATTAGCAAGAACCATGCCAGCGTCTTCTTTCCAAGTGCTAGGTTGTGGTGTGGCACTGCAGGCAAGGAGTGTGCTGCTGTCCTACCGCTCCTCTTTTCTTTCCTCCTGGAGAAATCCACTGAGCAACACCCCTGGTGAGCTGCAGGAGATTTTTCAAGGTCAGGCACATCTCACAACGCATCTGAACTGATGCACCAGGTCAGCAAACTAGTGCTAGTCAGCGATAGGCTGTGCCCTTCCCCCAAAAAGAGCAGTAAACCAAACAGAGGTGTCATCGCAGCCTCAGGGACCTCCAGGGAAGCAGGAACAGACTTGCTGAACCACAGACAAAGCCAGGATGGTCAGGACTCCCAACAGGACAACCAGGGTGATGGTCACATCATACCCTGGTTTGACCTCCCACTCACACCAGATGAAGGTGCACATTGGGAACTAATACCTACCATACAGTTTTGCACTTCTCCACAGCAGAAGTCTCATCAGATACATTTACCTGCTTCCACCGCACATTGCCCCAGTAGCCAACCTTTGAAATCATAGCAAGAACAATTTGGTGGGTCTCCAGGCATTCCGGTAGTAAGGAGAAAGATGAGGAAGGCTGTTTTCTCTAGGACTGACTGCCTCTGTCCCTTCCCAGGGAAGCTGCCCCAGCAGTCCTTCTTCCATCGTCTGGTGATGAACAGGTACAGCAGAGGAGACAGCAAAGGACACATCATATGAAAACACCATGGATGCTTCTCTGCAGTCCTGTGCCTGCTGAAATTATTAAGGTCCATGAAGGAAGGAAGGGCAGGACAGACGGTCACTTGTAAGCCTGATGCCCTGCTCCTTGCTTTGGCCAAAAATCAAGCTTTACTTGAGGCAGCACAGCAGCCTGAGACATGAAAGTAGAAGAACAAAAGGGGATTGATATCTGCTTCTAGCATTTCAGGTTAAAAACACGAAGGGCCCAAGCATTCTAGCCGAGTTTAAGGCATGGGAGATGACTGTAAAGCATCATTTCCTCTGTGCAAGGCTATACCAAGGCCTGCCCAGCATTGAAAGGTGAAAGCTGGTCCCTGGCAACTGCTGACAGCTCTCCATCTGCAATGAACTGGCAAGTCCACCAGCAAGGCAGAGCCGCATCGCCTAAGAAGCAGTGAGAGAGCTGGCAACCATGACCAGTTCACCCCTCCCAGCAGAGAAGACTCCAGCAGGCAGAGCTGGTCTGCTGGGACCTGTGCTCCAGAGCCAGACACACAGGGACCACAGGGTGAAGTTCAGGACAACCCAACTTTTGCATGCACCTCTGCAAGAAGACAAGGTAGATGTGAAGGCAATGCGTCTTCCCAAACCCAGCAACTTCAGTTCAGCACAGGTCTTGGCAGAATACATCCTGCACCCTTCCCCCCCACGTGGAACTCACTGCTGGAATCCTCTTTTGGTTTGGAGGAGAAACCTCTAAGCTATCCCTCATACCTGGTCTCTCTTTTCATTCAATGCCTAAGCCATAGCCACTTCTGAGGTTGGACTAACACCTTTCTTTGCCGTGTTGGTTAAGAAATTCCACTGCTTTGGATTGCAGTTAAATGCACAGAAGCTGGGAAAAAAATTATTTCCTCTGGATTTCAGCCATTTCCTTTCTTAAAGTGCTTGCAAGAGAGTCAAGATAATAAATCCCCAATATCCCGGAGCTGGAATTTCAGCCCAACCCATCACCTTCCTTTGGGAACTGATATTCTCATACACCAAGAAAGTCTCCAGCATCACACTCCCAACAGAGCAGATACCCAGACCAGCAGGGTGAACTGAAACCAGGCTCCTGAACCAAACATGCCCCTGCTTTCAGCAGGAAGCATTCTAATCAGCACTGCACATGCACATTAACTAATTCATTTATCTTTGAAGTTAAACCTATGGCAGGTTTCCTTTACACTGTTGCATAGAGAGAAGACCAAGAATCACCTAAAACCCAAATAGTTCCCAGCAAAATAGAGAGGACTCACATTTGCTGAGGGGTATCCAGGGGGTCTTCATATTCTTTCTGGCCAAGGCGATTTGTTTGGTCTCCTTTTATCTTGGTCCACAAAGAGCTATCCTACATCAAATCAATATATCAAGTGGAATCTGGCTGTGTTTTGAAATGATGCTAGGCATGCTTTGGGTGTCAGGTAGTTTGGCAGTAAATATTTCACTACAGTAATCGTCTTTTCCACAAATTTTATATAAGACCTCGTTCCTCTGCTAGCACAGGCCTCAGTAACTGGCTGTTTCCATCAACTATTGCAGTTACAGTGCTCTATCAATCTTCTGACATAGCTCAATCCAAATGATTTGTTTCAAAGCTCAACATAAAATTTCAGTTAAATGTAACCATCCAAAAAGCCTGAAGAACCTCTCTGGGCTATTAGTTACTCTGATCTCTCAGGAAAACCACAGAGAGGATCAGATTGCTCAAGCTAATTAGAATTAATTGTAAAAATTCACTCCCCAGTCAGGCACGGCAGGTTTGGAGAGAATACCCATTTTTTCATATCACAGGTATCGCACCCCTGTTGTAAAGACAAACTGTGACGCAAGTGTAAATAGGGAGCGATTCTAGCGCTCTGTGCCGTGCCGAAAGGGAAGGGATTTCAAGCAGCAGCCTGTTAGGGGCAGGAGGCGGGGAGCCGGGGTGCACTACCCTCTAGTGTGCACCCACAGCAGCGCACACTGCACAGCATCTCGGCTGGCATCACTTACACAGGGCTACGCACAGAGGCACCATAAAAAAAATAATTAAAAAACCCAATTCTCTTACACAGTCCAGCTGTACTTTGCAGTTGTGCTGCGGGGTAGTACCATCCGATACAACAGCATCTGGAGGAGTAGAAAAGAGTGAGCTCCTCCGAGCAGGAACCCCAGAGGAGAACCCAGACATGTTCTGGCCCTGGACCAGGCGGAAAGAGAGCATCCTGCAGGCAGCTGCAGCCAGCTCCTGCTTCAGGTTCTGCAGAATTTTACACAAACAGGAATCTGTGTAATTTCTGGCACTGGAGTGAAACCATTCTCATCTCCAAGAGTGGAAACAGACCAAGATGTTCACTACTAAAGTGCTGTTTTCTGAAGTCTCTCCTCTTATCACATCTTTGTGCAGAAGGCAGGCCAGGAGAGCACGGACTGGCAGCTACTTCCACTCTCTGCTACCCACCAATTTCCCCTCCTCAGCTGAAGCAGCCACCAGCACAGGTAATGGCCAGTTTGTGCTCTAGGATTCAATTTCTTTGTGGATCTAAAAACCTGGAAAAAAATCACCAGCACATATCTCAGTTCTGTGGGTACAGGCTGAAACACACAAGGTTTTTCTACCAAGTAGTAAATCACACAGTCAACCTGGATTAAAAGAAGCTTGTGCTGCAGGAGAGTACCAAGTCAGCATGCAGTATAAGGGAAACCTTTAGCGACAGAGAATCCCCAACACAAACCTAAAATAACCTTTGAGTCTGAGAAGGGCATGGCCCTGAGTAGGTTCATTGTGAAAGGTTCACCAGAAGCGTGGGTTGTTATTTTGTGGAAGTTACCATGACAGTTTAAACGGTTTAAAAACAAAACTTTGCAAGAAAGACCTGATTGTTATACCAGCTTCCTGTTTCCAACGAGTCCGATGCCAGAAGTGCCGAGAGCCTGCCAAAGGCAATACTGATCCCAGGAGCTGGAGTGGAGATGAGGTGCACAAAGGTACTGTGGACTAGAGGACAGTGCCCTTGTCTCATACACAAACCTAACCCACCTTCCCAGGTCTCCTACAAGATATGACAAGTCCCTGCATAAAAGGAGAAATAAAGCACCAAGGTGATGAAGAGAGCTGACACTCACTTTCCTCATGCAGCACTTGAGAACTCAGGAGGAAGAAAACCACACAAAGAGGGGGTCAGCAGTTTGGGGAGGGATTTCTACCTCTACCTAACTAGTGCTTGTTTCTTTTTTTTGTTTTGGACACAACTTTAGGAAACAATAAAGTCTCATCAGTATGACTTGGTGCTGGGAGTGCTCAAGTCCCAGGAGACAAGGCTTGATGGGGAAAAAAACCCCAAACCATCATATCCAGAAACATGACAGACAAGAAAGTGACAGGGCATGGCCAGCATGGATGGGTAAATTCCAAGGGTTAATTGCACCTGACAAACCTAATAACCTTCTACGAAGAGATGCCCGGCTTGGTGGATGCGGGGAGTGCAGTGGGTAGCTTACCTTGATTTTAAACAGCTTTTGGCACAACTGTCTGAAGAATCCATATAGCCAAATCATTTTGATACAGTTCAGATAGCTGCATGGAAAACTGGCGGGACACCAGGCTCAGAGGGTTGTGATCAACAGCACAAAGTCCAACTGGCAGCCCGTTACTCATGGCATTCCTCAGGGGTCATTAATGGGGCTAGTACTGTTTAATACCTCTATTTACAACCTGAAGACAGAACACACCCTCAGCAAGTTTGCAAATGGTACCAAGTTGTAGGCATGGCTGCCACACTGGGCAAGGCTGCTGTTCAGAGGGCCCCCCTCAACAGGCTGGAGAAATGGCCTGACAGAAACCTTATGAAACTCAACAACGGTAGATACAAAGTCCTGCTCTTGAGCAACCTCACCTAGGCTGGTCCTGCTCTGAGCCAGGGGGTGGACCACAGACCCTCAGAGGTGCCTTCCTACCCAAATTACTCTGAGATTTGGACTAATTCATGTAGGCAGCTCTCTGCTTACAGGGGACCGGCAAGATTGTTTTCAGGCATATTGTACCTGCTGAAATCAGTGTAGTCCGTTGTAAACTCACACAACTCATTCTTCTCCCATGCCCATCTTCCTGCACACTCTACCTGAGGCTTACACTGAGGCGGCAATAAAAGCAGAACAGGAATTAACTGTAATAGTACAGACAGTGACACAAATAAGCCATGAAGAACAGGCTATTTTTTCAAAGACAGAATTTCACTCCACCTACACTCAAACCCTATTGTCATTGGGGAATACGCTAGTCTTGGTTTTTTGCACTGGCTCCAGGACTCATTTCAAGCTACTCCTTTGGAGAAAAGTGCAGAGAAAAGGGGAGAGAATGATTCAATTTCTGGCCTTCTTTGTATGAGCTTAGCTGAGAAGATGGCTGTTGACTGCTTCTTGGTCTAGTGACAGTGGTGGACATCTCTGACTAATGCAGCACGTCTTACCACATACCAAAAGAGCAAGAACCTCAAATGGGAAATTGTATCAGTGGAGCTTATCTCCTCTGACACTTCCTTCTCTTTAGCATCATCTCCAAAGACCCAAACTAGCAGCCAAAGAAAGCAATGGTTAGCCTTCAGGAGTTCACGCTATCTGCTCAACCACAACGGAGTTACACACTCATTGATCAGTTCTTAAGGTAGAGTTTAAAAATACAAGATGCCAAGCTTAAAAATATGCATTTTCTTTTTGAAAAAAAATGTACAGTCAAATTTTAAGTGGATCTACAAGACACTCAGCTATCTTTAAGAAAAGTAAACCTTTGCAATGCACTGCAGAGTTTTCTAACCAGCAAGAGCCAGTGAGTTGGGTAAACTGCAGTGTTTCCTGAAAGAGCTTCAGTGGCTTTTTTTTTTTGTTTCCACCCTGTAGGCAGAGACACTTGAAAGGCAGTACAGTGCCTTCACGCTGCAGAGCACTAGGTTAGTTCTTCTCCTGTCTGACTCTTGCACTACAGACATAGCTCAGCGCGAGGCTGGTGTGGGCACAGTAGGCAAGGGCAGTTCCATGGAGGGAGTCTCAGTCACTTCAGCTGGACTTGGCTTGCGAAGCTCCAGTTTCTCAGTGAGTTGGTTATAAAGCTCCTTCACAGCTTCCCCACTCTGCAGAATGAGAATTAGGGAGGGGAAAAACAGAAGTGTCATACTTCATTCTAGCTGCTACTAGCTAGAACGCTAAGTATGCAATTACCCTGTGTGTTTTAATACAAACCAACACAGAAAGAGGAAGTTACAAGGTTAACTTCAGACACAACTTGGTACATTTGGAAAGTAGAGCTCATGTTCCATTAAGCAACATCTGGAGAGGCAGATGCTTTCATTTGCAATTGATTTTCCCTTTCTCATGCCTCCCTTCTTACCTGCTTGGTGGGTTCCAAAGCCTTCTGGAGAGACTCTAATTTGGCAGGCGCCACTTTGTGATGCAGATGAAGCAACAGTCTTAGCACATGTCTGTGTACGTTCTCCTTTCTGCAAAAAGCAATTTTTGAAGCAGAGTAACTGATATAAACAAACACCATCTTGAGAACAAGAAAGCTACAGCAACAGTACCAGAATAATTCACACACCCACAGACTGGCAGCTTTGTTGTAATTTTCCAAAACACCTGACAACTATAGCCTGTGTACTGCAAAGTGCTAACCCTGCCTTAAGACTTTCAAGCAATTCGTGTAATTATTCAACAGGAACAGACTAACTGTAGCAACCATGAGGAAGGAGGGGAGATTTTAAGCACAGACTGTAGCACATGGCAGCAGCTGGTCTCTGTTGGACAGGCCATATGCACATGCAAGAGGATGTTTGTCCCTCTGTATGTGTGGAGGAAGTGGTAACAGCAGCGGCACCTGCTGCTATGCCTGAACAGCAGTTCTAGTCACTTTTGGGGAAGCCTCCTGGAGGTTAGACCTGGTCTCCAGGCCACCAGTTGAACCACACTGACTTAACAGAATTAACAGATACAAACAGATTTTCTGCATGCAGCTGATACTGCAAAGAGCTGTATCTTAGCTCTTCATGTTCAGAGCTACTGCAAAGCATGAAGGATATTGTCTTTTGCAACTCCAACTTATGAATAATGAATTACAGTTTAGGTAATAGTTCATAATCAACAATTTTGCTGATAAAAACTTGATTACAAAATATAAGCCTTAAAGAAAAACAGCATCAGGCTAATATTTCCACTATATGTGAAAAGTTTGCTGTACTATTAAACTACAATTCAAAGCAGTATAACCTCTCTCAGGTATCCTGTACACTCACTTTCCTCACTTTCCCCTAAGGAAAATCACATTTACCTTGAGCAGGCAGTGAGAAAGAAGCCATCAAAGAGACTGGTGCAGAACTCCTCGAGTGCAAATTCATCACCCAGCAGTGTGAGGTTACCAGTAAGCAGATGCAGAAAAATATCACTGAAGGCCAAGTCACTGAATGTCTCAACTATACAACATGAAAAGGAAATAGACTGAGACTGACAAGGATGTGCCAAAACCTCACTACACAGCAGATGTTCCTGCTGAAAACTTTGCAGTAAAATTTCCTTTTAAAACAGGTAGCCCAGGCATGTCGCTTTGATCTTTCAGACATAAAAGATTAGGAGCAGAGGGGTGAGAAGAATATGTAGAAAGCCCATGTGTCCACCATGGCTGAAGTCACAGAGTAGTTTGCTCCTGCCAAAATCACAAAGTCCCCTGCTATCCTTCTCCCTCCATCATCCTCTGTTCATGGCCACATCCACCTCCTTGTACTCCTCAGACCCCATAGTGAGCAGATACAAATCACTGACCAGTGGAAAATTCACCCATGTAAATGAGCTGACAGTTCAGCAAAGGGTTCAAAGAACACCAGAGCTGGGCTGAGGGAGTGGGAAATGAACCCCTGCCACAATTACTGGGAGCTGCAATTCCTAAGATTGCTTCAGAGCTCTCAAGCAACTTACCCCAGAGAAGTCAGTGAGAAAGGTAATCCCAGGAAAAAATTTAAGGCTGTGTTCGGTCCTGTTTTGTTACAGATATTTTTACCACACAAAGCCAGGTCGCAAGAACTTCTGGCCACCTGCAATTACTATGAGCAGCAGCAGAACTAAGCCACCTGCTCTTTCATCTTTCAGATTCATTCCAAACAGTTCTCAGCTAATGTCATTGTTAATACAGCCTTCAATCTAAGGAACTACTGACCTTCAGCCACTATCCCTAAATTCTTGGATCAGCAGAAAAGTATCCTAATTGCAGACAAAAACAAACACTTCTGCAGGGCCTTACAACTAAGCCACCAGAACAGCCAAAGGCAGAACATTACATCTTTGACTCTGAAATCACTTTCACTCCAGGTTTACTTGCCTCCTAGGTGTCCAGTACAAGGCAAACAGCTGTAGAATAGAACACAAGACAAACACTTACCTAGTGCTGGCAGGAGCCTAAGGAAAGCATTCTTGTTCCTCTGTTTAGTGATGTGAAGGATGTAATACAGCCCAATCTCACAAGCTATTCTGTTCTCCTGCAAGAATCTGTTATGGCAGAAGCAAAGTTTCTTAATTGATAAAGCTAGAACAGATTTTTTTTATTTATTTTTTTTTTTAAAGAGGGTTTAAAGTACCATTGGATAGCAATCAAGCAGTTACAGCAGTGGCTAACCTCAAACCCACTGAAGAGCAGCTACTCAGTGACTGGTAGATGATCATCACTATGTTCATTACCATTGTCCAGAAAAATTTACCATTCAGCAAACATCGCGCTGTCTCACAATCAAACAGTTGGATTTGATTGTGAACATTTATAATAGTATTAATGATAAAAGTGCTCATTCAAAACAGGTTTTAGAAGGCCAAATACTCAAAATGATACAAAGTCCAATACTGTTTTGGTTTAGTTTCCCAAACGTCAAATATCAACACTGTCATAGAGGAGAGTACAACTACCAGGATACGGTACTCCAGATTCTGGCATACAGACAAGAATTGTGCTGGAAATTAGTGCAAGATCTGAACACAACATAGCACATAGTGGTTTTATTTATCTTTTGGACGTCCCTGAAGTGATAGGTTATGAACAGAGAATGAGTATCTGTGTAACAAAAATGCCAACTTTACGATTTACAATAGCACTCTTCAGAACCAGGCATGGGCACTCGTCTAGCTGCACCTGAGTATCACTCAAACACTCATCATTCACTGCTAGGGAAGGTACACAAGCAGCATATTTGAAAGCAGTAATATCAAATACTTCCATATTCAATCTGCCAAAAGACTGGTCATTAAAAGAAATATTATTTTTTGTCTATAAATTGTATTTGAGGAATCATGGTGGAAACCTGTTCTGCTAAAGGAACAGTTCTGGCTTGATTAACCAGGACTGTCTTACTCCAAGAAAGTCTTCATTTTACCACATACAGTGTTTTTTCCTGTCAGTGTTGGCTGGCTCCTTGATGTTTTACTTTGGTAACAAGACTGGTTCAAAGGTGGTAAGGCAGATTACGTACTTGGTGAAAGCTTCAGGAATGGTGCTGGGGTAGGGAATTGGCCCCTTCTCCTCTGAGGGCAGTTTCTGATCCACATTGTATGTGTGGTCATCCACCACAAAAGACATCAGCATAGGTAAGAACTTCGTGATCAACTCAGCTTCCTTAGAGCGATGGAAGAACAGAGGAAAAAGAACAATGCTTTCATCAATCAGTTCATGCCACCTAATGGTCCTAGAGTGCTGTAACAAATACTGAGGCAGTATTATGAGCCCCATCCTATGCTTAGGAAAACAAGCTTTCAGACATCTAGCTCCAGTCAAAATTCTTGAACAAGTCACTTCCCCATGTTCCACTGGTAATTAAGAAAACTGTATTTCACCTCATCTACAGAAATACTCCTGCTCAAATTCTTTCTTTGGACAATTTCGTAGCATTTCTTCTGAGAGACCTTTTCCAATTCCACAATTCCAGCTGTGTAGAAGTTCCCAGGAACAATGAGCAACCAGTGCAGAATTTAATAGAGGTACAGTCTGATTTTAAAACAGTAAGAGCCAGGCATTCATGTAAATAAAAAAGCAGGTGTATGAAGCTTTACAGCATGTCCATTTGAGCTGCTGCTCTGTGACCACTTACATGTTTTTCTAAGAAAGCTATGATGAGAGGTATGCGGAGTGAAGGTTAAATCAGGGATGCAATAAAATAATAAACAAGTCTAAGTTTGTTTAATTAAATATGTTAAATTCTAAACATCAAAATGGCTCACCATTTTTGGTTCCTTGAAGACTTGACTGTCGATCATGTCCCAGGCCCCCTGTCCCAAAGACAGCATCCTAAGGAGCAGCAGCAGATCTGGGCTTTCCTCGAATTTTAAGGGGAGGAGAAAAACAGCTATTTTGATCTTCCACAAGTTGCACATATAGATACTTATTTGGAAGTAGTGGTTTACATTCAAAACTCTCCGGACTGCTGGAGGCATTCAGTTCTCCGATTTAATTGACAACTGATTCCTCAAATGGGAATCAAGTAACAGACACACCTGAGAGTTTGCGGTTTTTTGTAACGTTTTATAATGCACCAAGAAGTATGCAGCCAATCTGATCACGACATCATTTTTAAATGTGTCCAGCCAAATTAGTATACTGAAATATAATGCGTGACAGGACAAATCAATTCATCTCAGCAGAAGTAAGAAAGAGAAAGCGTGTGTAAGAATGACAATGTTTTTTTGTTTATATTATGCCCTGAAACCAAAATAACTTTCAGTCTGAAACTGTAATGAAGAAGTAACTCAATCCAACAATAAAATTTAACAACTCAGGGTTAAAACCAGCAAATGCCTCACACTGTTCAGACACCTGCAAGGCTACCCTCCTTTAACATTTAAGCACCTCCTGCAGACACTGCTTGCAGGAACTATTATATTGCAGCCAACAGACCAGAAAAATGTAAACAAATCCATCGCATTTACCGTGGCAGGGAAAAAAGGCTGCTGCTGTTAGGCAAACTGATGAAAGGACAAAGCAGGGAGGCATATATTCCATATATGATTTTATATATGCATAGCTCTTAGGATAGAATGAGCCATGCAGACAATTCACTGTCAATTCGGAGAGCTCCGAAATGCCCGTCTCCAAACACTGCTCCTGCAGAGCTCTAAGATATGTGCTACAAATGGATAGGCAGTATCACGTTTCACTTATTTCAATTTACACATGCATTTGAGAACTTAATTGTGCTTCTTCTACAGTGCCAGCCCTTTGCTGATGAATGCTATTCAATTAAGACTATAGTTCAGATTAGGTACACAAGCTGCGACACTCACCCTGGGTAAGGTGTCCTGCCCAACCAGGTCTTGCAGGTGCCTTATGGTACTCAAGGCTAAGGTGTTAATGGCAAAGGGATCACACAAGATCATTGATAAGTCCCTGAGAAATAAAAATCAAATACGTGTCATAAGTAACAAACAACCCTACTGTACAGTTCCATATCTAGCTGTAGGACACCAGCGTGTTTCACTAGAGTAAGATGTTAGAGCATATTCTTTGTTGTAACCCTGTCAACTATCAGATGTAACATCAAAGTAGTGTGTACATATGTACACTATATTTTTATAAGCACACACACACTGCTATGTTTTAAGAAGAGAGGTAGATGCAGGACAAGTACTGTAACAATACCCTTACTACGATAATGTAAAGTCTGAATTTCTGTCTTTTGTCCACCTGATGAACCTTCTCCTGCCTTGTAAAAACACTGTGACTGTTATTTCTTTGACTTGAAAGAGCCTGTTATCTGAAACAATTACTAAAGGTCTTCTGCACTGAAATCAAGCAGGTGTCCCATAGTCAGTTACCAGGCCACAAGGGAGACGCAAGGGTGGTAATTTAAGCAGTACAAGCTACATCATCAGAACATGTCTGGCTATGCCCTAGTGCATTAAAGCTCACGGATGTACTGGATTTGACCACACAGAAGAGCTACTGGCTCCTAGCTGGCTCTAGGGAAGAATTAACACCTACAATATCTGCCAGATGTTGTGATTGCCAGGAACCCATTTTCAGTTTCTCAATAAACAGCCCAAGTGCCTTACCCCAACACTTGTTCTTGTCCTTTCTTCACTCCATCCAGAAACCCTTGCAATTCCCGAGCTCTCTTGTTGTCCACAAACTTCTCCCGAATGCAAGCATCAAGGCACCAGGTGAACTGTTATAAAAAAGGAGAAAGCTTTATGAACCACAGCAACTCCATAAACCAGCAATAAAATAGACAATGTCAGAGAAAACAGGCTCAAATAACCTCCAAATATCTGGAATTATAACATTTTATTAATATACTTAGGTATGGTAGCAAGCTGGCCACAAATACAGAGGAGGTCAGAAATATGAACATTCCAAAAGGAAGTCAGAGATACCAATGCAAGCTAACCTGGTGTCACTTTCTCCCCTCCCAAGAAAGGCATTCCCTGGCAGTTAAGGAAGAGGCATGTATAAAACATACCGCTGCACAGCAGAAGTGATCAATGTGGATTTACACAAGTAGGAGGCTGACAAAGGAGGAGCATCACTTAGCAATAATAATATGGGATATTTTAGCCATTGCAATACCACTCCCACCCTGTAAGAAAGGGGTATTAACAGTGGAGGTGCTTCTGCTTTAAAGTTGTATTATCAAAATGGAAAGAGACAGTTAAGTAAATGTTTTACCTGACCTAAAATTAAGGGCTTTTTTCCTCTTTCAGAACATATATTTTCATATATTTTCCCCCAGTATTTCAGCTGTCAAAATAAACCAAGTTGCTGAATTTTCTGAAATGCTTTCATTGTGGCTTCCTTTCCTTGCAGCAGTCATTGCACTTTGCAGTGGCAAAATGAGGTTGCTGTAAATGATATGTGACTTGAACAAGAATTGCCCTTTTTTATTCAGTCACTGTCTGTATACTGATTTGGGGACTCCTGATCAGAAGACGTTAAAAAACATGCAGTAACATCATTACTCTAGAACATATTCTCTATAAGCTGAATACACATAAAACTTAGAAAAACTAATTAAGGAAAAAGCTTTGTTCTAGATCAGAGTGATGCTGACCACAAAGGACCAGTAAGAAGATCCTGGTGTGACTTTAACAACACATCTGTCACCCCCCAATATTTTAATAATGTTTTCTTATAATTCAAGATCCAAAGTATTTAATATTACACACACAGTTTACTGACAGATGGAGAATATCACACCAGGTGCAACAGGGAGGGAAGCAAGATTTGATTAAGAACCTGGGGCTAGCTAATGTTTTTTATTATTTTTTTGCAGCATCCTCATAGGTCAGATTAGACATTTTTAACACTGCATAAGTACCATAAATTTGAATGATTTATGGGTTATGAAATGAAAGCAAGCTGCTGGTTAACCAAGATGAAATTTTCACCTGAGGTTCCAAGGAATATAAGATGACTTTTGGGTTCAAGGTCTGAACTCTCTTCACAGAGAGGAGTCATCTTCTCTGGGCTGAAGTCCTGCAGGGCAGCAGGTATGCACAGGAGCGGGCGAAACAGAAAATTCTGCAGTAATAGTCCTATCTGTCCCACATGATTAATACCTTATGACAGGGGTCAACGGTGCAGATTTCACTGATTTCCAGGTCATGCAGCGACATCAGGAGCTCTGCCCGAAGCGTGCAGTAATGAACATTCCTTGTCCGAAGGAACAAGGTTCTCAGAAACTGCAACACCATATCATAGAGCTTCACATTCTTCCCAATCATCTGGGTCAGCTTCTGAACCACCTAAACTCAAAATGGAAAAAATGTGTACTCAGTACCAAGAGAGAGTGTTATTTCACACACACACAAAACGTAAATTAATTCTTTTACATGATTTATCAAGATTGAAACATCCACATTGATGTGAGTTCCTGAAAAGGAACTATTTATACCAAGATTTCCAAGAGCATTTGTTCAACAGATGTTTACCAAATCTTTAATAGCCATAAAGAAAGAATAAAGAATGTCCAGAAAAGGCTCTCTCACAAAATGAAATTGAAGCATTTGTAAAATCAGGTGCTCAGCTATGTAAAACAAGTAAGAAGCAGTACACCTGTTATTGATGAATATAATTTACAATTACTGCAACATGAACAAAACTCACTTTTCTCTGGAAGCCTTTTTGTATTTCTATCTACCTTCAGGCTACAGGCATGAGAATGAAGGTCAAGTCTTGTACTGGTTTTGGCTGGGACAGAGTTGAATTTCTTCACAGCAGTTTGTATGGGGCTGTTTTGGACTTGTGCTGAAAACAGTGTTGATAATACACTGATGTTTTAGTTACTGCTGAGCAGTGCTTAACATAGTATGAAGGGCTCCTCACACTGCCCCGCCAGCAAGTAGTTTGGAGGTGCACACGAAGTGGCGAGGGGACGCAGCCGGGACAGCTGACCCCAACTGACCAAAGGTATATTCCAGACCATAAGGTGTTGTGCTCGGCAATAAAACTGGAAATGGAGGTTGGTGGGGGAGCCCGCTACTTGGGGACTGGCTGGGCATCGGTTGGTTGGTGGTGAGCAATTGTTTCATTTGCATCACTTGTTTTTCTTGGATTTTCCTCTCTCTTTGTCGCTGTTTTCCTTACAGATTTTTTCTTTACATTTCTTTTTAATTATTAAACTGTTTTTATCTCGAACCATGAGTTTCTTTCTTTTACCCTTCCAATTCTCCCACCCATCCCACCAGGGGGAAGTTAGCAAGCAGATGTGTGGTGCCTACTTGCCGGCCGGGGTTAAACCATAAGTCTGCAGTGTAAACTTGAGGTAAATTGCACCACAGCACTTACACTAAATGGGCTTTTGAAAGCAAAACAGACCCAAACCAAACCCCCCATGTAGCAGAAGTGCTACCCTCCCTGAAATTAAAGCTTTATACTGCCTTATCACTGCAATTCCTTAGCATTCTTGATAGCAAGGTCCTTACAGGAACTCTGATATTTCCCTTTTGGAGAAAATGCCCCCTGAGGTAAAGCAACACATTATAGCTGAACCACTGTAACAGCTTGCTGTTGCCAAGAAGAGGAGAGACCCACTCCTCCTAATGCCTATGCCACTGTTCCCTCCCACATCAAGCCTGCCTGTGTGATCCAGCCCATCTCCTCGCAATGGCTTTGGTGCCAGCTGATCTATTCTTTGAGCAGATCCAGCTCCCTGTCTTGGAAAACTACTTACTGGTTTTATTTGCCAGAGTTTCTGTAGCAATTACTGAGCTGAATCAGCTCATGGAAGGGTCTGATAATCTCCAGAGCTACAGGGAGGGAGGGAGGGGAGAAGCAGCACCTGCCCTTCCTGTGCCTGAGTGTTGGATCAGCTCAGCCACTTCATGTAATTCCATTCAAAGAGCAACTTTTCTGAATGCCAGCTTAGGTACAACTTTCAATGTCCTTCTCCATGTTCAAAAAAAAAACCAAAAAACCCCAACAACAAAAAAAAAAACCAAAGCTTTTTTAGACTATGTCCTGCTAAAAAAAAAAAGTCCCAAGAAAAGAAATTTAAGATATTCAAACTGATTTGATAGACACTCATCCTTCAGAACAGATGAGGGGTATTAAAGCCAGACTGAGCAATAAAGGAAAAATTTGGCCTTGCTATTTTTTTTAAAAGCTCATAAACAGTTTAGAACATTAATCAATTATTACACAGCACTGAGTAACTATTAAAATAATTCCTGCTGCTTTCATCAAGCTATGTAGGAGAAAACAGCCTGGTAGTTCTCACAAATACCTTGTCTAGCCAAACAACTTTAGTAGTGAAGTTGGGTGGGTGAAATGGACATTCTGTTATTTGATGAGGTTGACTGAAAGCTGATGAATTCCATTCACAAGCATGTTGTAAGAGGTTTCCTTGTCCTTACCTCTCCTTGACGTCTTGTTTTGGGAGACGGACTGAAGAAATTGTGCAAGACAGAAATATCATTGCTGAAGAGAGTATTTTCTTTCTCCAGGATATATTGCTTCAGCAGTGGAGATACCTCATCACCAAACAGAGCCTGGTTATCCTGCCAAATCTGGCGCTTCACCTCCACTGCACATGCTTTATATAAATCCTTATCAGCCATTACTAACTTCAGCTTCTTTTCAGGGACCTGTGATCAACAAAGCAGTTACCAAAGTGCAAAGCAGCTTACCTGGCTGACTGTCCAAGTAACAAGTAACTGACTACAGAAGACGTCTAAATCATAATCTCAGGCAGTCTGGTAATTTACACAACAGCAATTAAACAACAGGCAGTATCACAGACTCATCTTTTGTCTTCCCTACTCCTGTAACAGTAAGCCAGTCCTAAGACACTTAAGACTTCCTTTAAACCTACAATGCCAAGATTTGGGGTGATGCTTCAAAACTCAGTAACTTATAAAAGTTCTAGTAGCAGTTTTTAATCCATTACCTTTAAATACAATATGATGCTTTTAATAAGGCTACTCCTAGAGGGTTTTGTTTCACAGAACTGAATCTCACTCCTTTCTACTTCTAGTTGCATTCTTCAAATCTTATTTTCCACTTGTCACAGATTTTTAAATCAGCTGTGGAAAAACCCACCTATCAGCAACTTGACTACTTTTCAGGAAGATGCATGTATTGAATAAAACAGGGAAATAGTCTCATCTGATTATGAAAACGTAAAACATTTTTTGAATTAGTCTACTAAGTTGTTACCAGATACAGGAATGCAGTAAATCTTCAGTCACTGAACGACAAACTTGCAGAAAGTCTGCAGATGGAGCAGGCAGCCCAGCCGACAGCACAGCTAAGAGAAGCTATACAACAGAGAGGTAATGGAACAGGCCAACTGGCAAAGCGGTTTTACCTTGGGCAAGTGCTTCATGACACACATTACCACAGGCTGTATGGAAGGCATCTTGACCAGGGAAAAGCTCTTCTCTAGGAGATCTTCCAGCTTCTTGTATCTGAAAACACGTAAGAGCAAGAGACCACCGTGTTACAGAAAAAGACCACAATGGCTCATCTCAAAGCCACCGGGACTTGATCCCCCAGCAACCCAACTCTCCTTTGCAGAAGTCACTCGTCCACTCTAGTTTTCACACAAGATTCCCAGCTCACTCCAAATAACCAGCAAGACTGCACACAAACCTCTCCTCAACTTTCCCTTCCAAAGCGATGGCAGAGACCCTCTCCAGCAGCTTCTCCCTCAGCTCGTCGAAAACCGACTGGTGGAACTCCAGCCGGGGGGTGCCGTGCAGGTCCAGGAAGGGCAGGGCCGACTGCAGCGAGGGCAGGAGCACTCCATTTTCTGTCTGCCGACACAAACACCGGACAGGGACGGAGGCGGGAGGTTAGCCGGCTCCGCTAGCCAGCAGACGACAGCAGGGACCGCTAAAGCCATGCTGGTCAAAGCATAAAAAGAGGGGAAAACCCCACAAAACACAGGCGCCGCTTCGGGCCTTCTCGTGCTCCCCACCACGCCACCGCCCCGCCCCCTCGGGGGCGCCCCGCCTCACCTGGAACTGCTCGATGGCCTTCAGCGGCTCCGTGCAGTTGGTCAGCGTCTCCTTCAGGTCCTCGCCGTTGGCCACCCCCAGCTCCTGCAGCCCCGCATACATGGCGGCCTGGCCGGGCCCCGCCGGGCCCGCTCCCGCCACAGCTTCCCC